TCCTCCGCATATTTTGAGTTCTCATTCAAAGACTCATTTAGTCTCCAAGTCCCTTGGCCACGTGCAAGGTATTGCGAGCGAATGTGACAGTGAGTGGTGCATGGTCAGACCATGTACGCTGACCGATCTCAGCCACTGTCACATTTAGCAGCATGGCCTGATCCACCATACACATATCTATATGTGAATATGTTAAGTGGGCATGGGAATAATACGTAAATTCCCTGGCTTCAGGGTATAGGCAACGCCACATATCATACAAGTTATAGTTATGCATTAACATGGCCAATTTTTGTGATGGTAAAGGGACATGGGAGTTTGTCATTTATTCGGGATACATCCATAATAGGATCATGTCAGCTATTAAAGTCCTCACATATAATGGAATGTCCCACACTCATCTTTTGGATAAACTTAAAAACCTTTGAGAGAAATATGGGTTGTGCATTATTGGGCGCATAAATGGAAGCGATCGTTAATTGCATGCCGTTTAGAGAGCCTAACACAATCATGAGGCTGCCCAAGGGATCTACATGCTGTTTGTGAAGCTGGAAGACTCAGTCTGCCTAAATAAAGGTATCAACACACCTTGTACTATTTGTGGAACAAGCATAATAAACCTGAGGGTATTGCCTAGACTGAAAGTTTGGAGAGTTCTTTACACAGAAGTGCGTTTCCTGCAGGCAGACGACAGCAGCCTTAGAGCTATTAATTTCTGAAAAAGCCAATCGTTGCTTATGGGGGATATTAAGGTGGTTAACATTCAGCGACATAATATTAAAGGAGCTAGCAAAAACAAGTTATTTTAGAGATCGCCCTGAGCCACCCCATAGATAATAGGTATACCCCGATCTTGCATGAAAGATACAACCGAGCCATGGGGGGCATGGGTATTAGTTAAGCGACATAACAACATGCAGAAAGAGCACCCAAGTTCCCCATGGCTAGAGATCACAGCATTAAGCACTAAAATAAGTAATACATCCAGTCAGCACTGGTACACATTGGAATTGACACTTGCAAAAAATAAATGTGGGACCCTAGTAGGATTTAAGTGTAAATGAGATTCTCTAGAGCTTAAATTGTGTAAATGTATGTGCCAAGATTTCTTGTGAACATACTATATTAACAAAAAAAAAAGAAATGTTTTTCCCTTTCCCCCCCAATATTTTCCCTTTCTTCTTTTCTTTCTTTTTTTCTTCTTCTTTTTTCCCTTCATTTAATATTTTTTTTTTATATTCTTTCTTTATTTAACACTAAAAACAACAAAAAAGAACTCATTATACATTATACAATCTTTAACATGCATTTAACACCAATATTACCTAAAAGATTGCATTTAAGCTCTAATATCACCATTTTGAGTTATTCATCAATACAAATTTTTACACACAAAAAAAAAAAAACATTTAATACACTCTCCCCCCCTCTGCCTCTCTATCTACCTATACCCTTCCTATTCGCATAAACCTTCCAGGGTTCCCAGACCTTACCAAACATATAATAAGAATGTCTTACTCTAGATGATAATTCATCCATTATATAATTTTCTTGAATCTTTAATTCCACCTCTCTCATTGATGGTAAATCCAGATTTATCCAGCTAGCGGCTATACATCTACGTGCGGCCAATAAAATTAAAAATATTAATTTCTGCGAATGGCAGGGTATACCTGCTATTGATTTCGATAGCAAAAATATCCAAGGATTGAGTTCTATATTTCCCTGTATTATCACTTGAATTAGCTCCCTTATTTCCTCCCAATAGCTTTTAATCTTTGGGCAATCCAACCACATGTGTAAATATGTCCCTTGTAAACCACATCCCCTCCAACAAAGATCCGTCAGATTTTTACCTATTTTGTACAAAAAAACAGGGGTCACATGCCACCTAAATAATATCTTAAACATTTGTTCCTGCGAGATTACACAAATCGATATTTTGGATGCTGTTTCCCAGATATCTATCCAATCCTTAGTTTCCAAAGAAGAACCTAAATCTGCCTCCCAGTAGGATATATACTTTAATGGAGCACAAACCGTAGGTTCCTCACTTAGTTGATTATACAAATCAGAGATAAGACCTCCCTTTAACCTACCTATTTTGCACATTTTTTCAAAATTAGTGAAGGGGAATTTAACTGCCGTTTTTACCTCCATTGAATACGCAAAATCTCTAATCTGCAAATAACGAAAAAAATCTCCTGTCCTCAGTTCTACTCTGGTCAACAAACTAGAAAATAAAACTACCTCTCCTTCTGACCAAAGATCTACATATCTATAGATTCCTCCTGCCTTTAAGCCTTGAAAATTGTGTTCTTCCATACCAGGAATAAATTGTCTATTCCGAAAAACAGGGGTCATGGGTGAAGGGAAATTAGTTAGACCATATTTTAACTTAAGTTTATCCCAAATGTGGAGGGAGTTTGCCGTAGAAGGGAATATTTGTTTCAACCCTGGTCTTGAAACCTTATTCAACCACATATACAACCCTGGCGAGTCTGGTGTCATTAAATCTTCCTCCATATCCGCCCATCTGTATTTCCCTTGATTTGCATGCCAACCAACAATTTGAGCCAATTGGGCTGCGTAATAATAAATAATTAAATTGGGGAGACCTAGTCCCCCTTTAACTCTCGGTCTATACAAGAGAGTTCTAGCTATCCTATGTCGCTTGCCCTGCCAAATAAATGTGTCTATGTGGCTTTCTGAATAACCAATAAGTCCTCTTTACAGACCTTTATAGGCAATGCTTGAAATAGAAATAAAAGCCTCGGTAAAATATTCATTTTTATAGAATGAATTCTGCCAATCCATGAAATTGGCTTATCATGCCAATTCTCTAGGTCCTTTTTCAAAGTCTTAATCAAAGGTACATAGTTGTCATTAAATAATGTATTATAATCGTATCCAATTTTAACACCCAAATAGCTTAGAGATTTATCTATACTCATATCAAATTTAGTTTTTAGCTGGTCTTGTTCTATCTCAGATAAATGAAAAGGCACTCCACACGATTTATTATAATTTACATTATAGCCTGAAATGGCTCCAAATTGTTCTATCAACTTAAACAATTCAGGGATAGATTCAGAAGGGTTTGCTATAGAGATTAAAATATCATCAGCATAAGCCGCTGTTTTATAAATCTCCCTCCCTATTTGAATACCCTGTATATTGCCACTTCCCCTGATATGGATCAGAAGGGGTTCCAATATAAGTGCAAACAAAATAGGAGAGAGAGGGCATCCTTGACGTGTGCCATTGTATATTCCAAACGGAGTATTAACTGAGCCAGGGAGCTGTATTGTTGCTTGGGGATTTGAATATAATGCACGGATTATAGTAATGCAATTGACTGGAAAGCCCCAATATTGAAGCAAATAAAATAGATAAGGCCAGGCGACCCTATCAAATGCCTTTTCTGCATCTAATGATAAAAGTATTGATGGTGTCTTCCCTACTGCCATAACCCAAGCAACATTAACTGCTCTACATGTATTCTCATACAGCTGTCTACCTGGAACGAAACCTACCTGATCTGGATGAATCAGAAAAGGAAGTAGGGGAGAGAATCTCAGGGCAAGGACTTTAGCTATTATTTTTATATCAACATTTATTAATGATATAGGCCTATAATTTCCCACTGAAGAAGGGTCCTTATCTTTTTTTGGTAAAAGAACAATTTTAGCCATTGTAAGGTCGGCTGGAAGAACTCCGCTTTGACAAATTTCATCTATGACCTCTTGTAAATATGGCATAAGAGTGTGTTGAAATATTTTATAATAACTACTACTAAAGCCATCTGGCCCTGGTGCTTTACCCCCCTTAATAGAAAAGCATGCCGCTTTAATTTCCTCTAAAGATATTTTGGTCCCTAATCCTTCTAAGGCATTTTTAGGGATTTGGGGTAAATTTATCTTATTCAAAAATTCTCTCAGTCTTATCTCCTGATCTGTACCTTTTATATTCTTGTTTTTAAATTGACTATATAATCTAGAAAAATATTCCCGAAATACTGCATAAACATCCTCTGGTGATGATACTAATGACCCTGAAGCGTTTCTAATGGATGAGATAGGATTAAAATGTGTTCGTGGTTTTAAGCATCTGGCCAAAGGGGCGTCTATTTTATTAGCTTTCTCATAAAAATAGCTACGTGATTTTTTTAACTGCCATACTGCTTCATCTAACAAAAGCTTTTTAATCTTTAATCTACATGCTTTTAAATCATATAGCGTTTGTTCAGTGGGAACTGTTTTATGTTTTTGTTCCAGCTTACGTAAACCTTTCTGTAACTCAAATAATGATTGTGATTTAATCTTTTTCTTATATGAGGCTATTTTGATCAATTCTCCCCTAATTACAGTTTTATGTGCTGCCCATAAAGTGGTTTTGCTAATTTCAGTCGTATTATTTTCTGAAAAATAATTTAACAATGCCTTTGTAATATCTGATCTCACTATGGGATCTTCCAAGAGAGAAGTATTTAATCGCCAAGAAAAATTGGGTTTAACTGATAATCCTTTTATATGTACAATGATATCTGCATGATCTGACCACGTAATATTGTTAATTTGTGAGCTATATAAATAGGGAGAAAGTGTTAAATTGGTCAAAAACATATCTATTCTAGAATACGTATCATGTGGATGCGAATAAAAGGTATAATCAAGTGTGTCAGGATGTTGAGCCCTCCATATATCAATAAGTTTATGAGTTATCATAAACTGAAAAAACTGTTTATCTTGTCCTCCCCTTCCCTGGGATCGCAATGTTCCCGGCTTATGACTTCTATCTATTGCTGGACAAGAAACCGCGTTACAGTCCCCACCTATCAAGACACAATCAATAATTTGGCCTATCGTATCCCAAAATCTATTATCTGGGATATTTGGGGCATATATATTCATTAAATGAAGCTTACGGGTGCCCATTATTCCAGACACTAAGATATATCTTCCTTCTTTATCCTGAATGGAATTTAAGACCTTAAACTGACATCTTTTATGGAACAAAATAGCTACTCCATTATGTTTTTGAATAGCATTCAAACAATACGCTCTATCATACCATTTATCTGTCAAGGATAATATATGAGATCTGTTAAGATGAGTTTCTTGCAAAAAAACTATGTCCGCCTGCTTTCTCTTTAATTCCTTAAACATTATCTTCCTTTTAGCAGGTGAATTAAGGCCTTTTACATTTAAGGAAATTATCTTCTCATCCATCATAATTCAACACCAATACAAGCAGATGTTTTGACCCAATAAAATAAACGAACCATATTAGCATATTGTATACCAAAACATGAAAATGAGGGGAGGAAGAGAAGAAAAAAAACAAAAAAACAAACACAACCATATATACATATATACACAATAAACACCTCCTGGACTTACCCAATGCCAGGAGTTAAATAGGGGGCACAGTTTTCCCAGGTCTACTTCGGCCTTGGGATAAACTGCAACTACTCCCATCAACCTGAAACCTAGATTTTTAAACTAATACTAGCAACCTGATTTTTCTTAACATAACATGGGTCCTCTTACACTTCCCTAAACGCCACCTTAACACATATGAGCTGTCCTCGGACCCTATACAAAACCATTCAAAAACCAAAAAACTCCATATTATCCTATAATACAACATTTTTACTGCTGAATTACTATTGAGATTTTATTTTTTATTTTTATCAAACGCATCATTTATAAAATACATACACCTATATAATATGCTTATTTCTTCTCATATATATGCCTTACTATATTATTCCATGTATACCAATATGCAATAACTTAATCCCTTCACTTCCTTATTCTCCCCTTCACAATCACCATCAGTATATCACATTATATCCCACTTCCCCCCCCCAAAAAAATAAAAAAAAATAAAAAAAATAATAGATTAACCTAAATAAATGAAAATTTATGTCCTTTTAAGTTTGATTCTCTCTCGCATCAAACCATTCTCTGG